CGAAACTTTGGAATATTACTAATTTTGTGATGCTCTTTCAAGCTGTGATGAAATTTTTGTCTATATCAAAATTTAGTCTATAATGCAAATGGTCCATTCGCAAGCTCGCTGCTATTGCCTGGTGAAAGGCGCTTTCTCTGACGACTGCGCTATCGAAGCCCTAAGTGAAGGAAGGAAAGAAGGATAGAGGGGTCAATACAGGAGAGAGAAATTACTAAAAAGAAGGTTGCAAAAAAGAAGAAACAAAGTGGTAAAAGGATGGAAGAAAGCGAGAAAGGCAGTATTTAATCAAATTTTGATGTCCTTATTCTCTTATAGGTTTACTTGTAGTCATGCTGTTTATCGACCGTGTTGGTCGTATCAAAACATTAGTGGTTGGATTTGGGTGTACATCCATATTGTTTGCGCTGCTTATGTTATGCAATGGAGAGTAAGTTGGCGTGTGTCGCGTATTTGCGATGGGAAGTGTTCAAAATCTAAAATCTTTTTGGCGTTCCTCTTAAAATTACTTTGGTTTTAAATTTTAACTTTATTTTGCAGTTTACACAGTTAGAGACCGTTTTAAATGTATCCAGCGGTTTAGAAACACAAAATAATAGTTAAATATTGTCAATTTAAATACAATTATCATTGATGCTGTAAATTTTACGCCATATTTATACAGCAATATAAACAAAACTTACTGAACAAGTTTGAATACATTCCCAAATAAGTTGCTACATGTTCATCTATGCATTTAGTTTAACTGGTTAGCACGATTTCATTTTAAGCTATTTAAACAAAGTGTATAGATAATGTTAAAGATATGTTGGGGGTATAAGATAATATTAAAGATATGTTGGGGGTATTTTTTCAATATGTAATTGCAAATCCCTGTGCTTCGGGGCCTTCTTTGCTCGCGTTTGGGCACGGATTAAACCAAGACCTTAACAATTTTTCTGGGAATTTATTCCCATTCTTTCCATACAACAATCTCTAGTTCTGTGAATGTCCATGATTCAGGGTTTCCTTTGCTCACTATTTTTTTCTGAACCATCCATTGAGTTTAGGATTTTTTGCTGGCACTCAAGACTAATTGCGTATAAAATCTTTATTTTCTTTGTTTTCTCTTTTGAAGGACAATGACAACCATTTATATTTTTGGAGTTCGGTATTTTGCTACGGGTGTTACTCAGGCACTTTATATTTATATCCCAGAGGTGAGAAATGTACTACTTTTGTAGGTATCAACTAATAATTACTATCTTATTTTACTTTTTATTAAAGTCTTATTTAAAAATGGTAACACTATTTACAATATAAAAATGCATTAAATTTATTTAAACTATACATACAAGTATTAATATACACGTTAAAATATATATTGATTGTTGCACATGATCATTGTGTTATGACTATAATTAATAATTCCGTGATTTTTAGGTTTATCCAACAAATATCCGTGGTCTCGGCTTAGGAACGGCTTCAGCTATGGGGAGAATAGGATGTATAATAACACCGTTTTTAGCTCAGGTGAAACGCTTAAACTGTCCTTCCTATATATATATATATATATATATATATATATATATATATATATATATATATATATATATATATATATATATATATATATATATATATATATATGAATATATATATATATATGAATATATATATATATATGAATATATATATATATATGAATATATATATATATATCTATATATATATATATATATATATATATATATATATATATATATATATATATATATATATATATATATATATATATATATATATATATATATATATATATATATATATATATATATATATATATATAGATATATATATATATATATATAAAGATATATATATATATATATATAGAGATATATATATATATATAGAGATATATATATATATATATATATATATATATATATATATATATATATATATATATATATATATATATATATATATATATATATATATATATATATATAGCTTCAGATTTTGGTTTACGAAACACAAACAGTGCTCAATACCATATAGATAGAGCGTAATATAGTTTTCCGTTTTACCTCAAAAAACCACAACAGTCTGTTTCATCCGTATAGGAATCATCAGGTGGTGAATAATTTCGAAATTGTAGGTTGCTTTTATGCTATCGAAAGAATGTGTGGAATGCGTGTAGGCGAAACAATGCTTAGGTGAAACAATGCATGCTTGGGTCATTAGGTTTTGTTAACGACCTTGTTTACTCGAAACCGGTTTTTGTGACGACATTTGCCGAAAATTTCGCTTCTTTTATTGAGTAAATTGTCTTTGCTTATGTCTTTCAAAATGCAAAATTTTTCTTCCAAACATAAATTGCAGCGTTTTGATCCCCCTGTGTACGAAATAGCGTGTTTTAAAATTGACCATTTGATGGTATAATCCTGATTGTTTTCTTTTAATTTCCAAATATGTTTCGAAAGTTCCGTTTTGTTTGAGTCTTTTTATGACGAAAAGATGAAGTGTGGTTAGCGTAACGTTCCTTAAATGTAGTCGCTGTCATACCAATGTAGTGTTTAGTGTCGTTCGTGTTGTTCGTTGTGACTGTTGCTTTGTAAATAATGTTGTTGGTCATGCATTGTTGCGGTAGTGGGCAAGTGTTTTTGTTGTCGCAGTTACAGTTGTCAGTTTCCGTATTCTGTGATTGACTGTTCCTAATTATATGTGCGTTGTGTTTGGTGATTATAGACTTAACGTTGTTCATGCAACTGTAGCTTACTTTTAAAATGTTTCTGTTGAAAATCTTGTGTAGTTTGTGCTGTAGTGGGAAGTGTTTGTCAATTAAACTTAAGAATTCCCGTCCTATGTTCGTGTTAACACTCTTACTAAATGGTGGGTTGAACCAAATTATGTTGCGTTGCCTATTCCTACGTGTCCGCTGCGGTGCATCCTGAGTGTACGTAAATTCATGATCAAAGTTACTATGTGTAAGAGCGTTCTGGTAAATAGGTGTGGATTCCTTAAATGTTTGTTCGTCCGATGAGAGAAGTGCAATGCGTTTGTTGATAGCTGTAGGTAATTGTTTTGTAATGCTTGGTGGGTGGTTTGAGTGTCTGTGGATGTACAATGGATCGTCATTGGGTTTCCTGTATGGTTTGTGTTTTGCGTTGATCAGGTCGAAAGTAACATCTAAAAAATTTACAACGTTCATATTTACTTCGGCGGTGATTTTAAGGTCAAATTGCTCGAAAATTTTGTGTAGATCTTTTCTAGTTTTGTCTAGTAAACGGGCGGATTTGCTTTTTATAATAGCCAAACCATCATCTCTATAAAGTCCGATGTTTTCCTTGCCAAACCTCTTACCTAAGTGATTTAAAATGAAAAGGCTTACCAGCTCACAAATTTCAGCGCCGTCGAAACTACCCATAGTGACGTCAAATAAACTGTTGCTTCCGTCTTTTTTTGTCCATAATTTGCCGTTGCCGAAAAGTAGAGATTTTCTTGCATGTTTTATTATTGAAATATCGTTTTCGGTAATAGTAGTCAAATCCGAAGCCCAGGCCAATGCTTTATTTAAAAGTTTTTCGGAAATAGATGGGTAAAAATTCACAATATCAACGGAAGAATTTGGAAGAAAAATTTTGCATTTTGAAAGACATAAACAAAGACAATTTACTCAATAAAAGAAGCGAAATTTTCGGCAAATGTCGTCACAAAAACCGGTTTCGAGTAAACAAGGTCGTTAACAAAACCTAATGACACAAGCATGCATTGTTTCACCTAAGCATTGTTTCGCCTACACGCATTCCGCACATTCTTTCGATAGCATAAAAGCCACCTACAATTTCGAAATTATTCACCACCTGATGATTCCTATACGGATGAAACAGACTGTTGTGGTTCTTTGAGGTAAAACGAAAAACTATATTACGCTCTATCTATATGGTATTGAGCACTGTTTGTGTTTCGTAAAACAAAATTTTAAGCTATATTTGCACCCGGTAATCGGTTGTGCACTTTGTCTATACGTTATTCATTTCATTTCTACTTCAAACATGCGACAATTTCGATTCGATTATTCACTAAAGAATATTCCTATACCATCACAGGATGCTTACCTAAAGAATTTGATTTAAAAAGTGGAAAGCGTAACAAAACGTATGAGATGGAAAGCTAATTTCTTCCTAAAAGGATCAGCGACTCAAAACCAAAGCAACCTTTTCGGCCTTTCGTCTAACAAATCGCCTCCTTCAATTCCACTTTTGAAACCTTTCGAAGACGACTTGATAAAACTAATTGAAAACGTAAAATTCCGGCGTCCTAAAGACCAATTTCAGACATCTTTGGCTAACGATTTGAAGAAAATTAATTCATTCCCCAACATTTTCATTTTCGCGGACAAAACTAGAAACATTTACGAAACGTCACTGAACACATACAACGAACTCTTACATGATAACATCACGAAAACGTAAAAACATGGATCAGAGGACTTCATACATGAAATTGACTCCGAATTGAAAGAAATTTCGAGTAGGTTAGGAATTGGCGACAGAATTGAACGAATGAAAAAACGCGCAGCATTTATATCTTTAAAAGATCACAAAGAAAATTTCGAAAACAATCCAAAATGCCGACTAATTAATACCGCAAAAAGCGAATCCGGAAAACTAAGTAAGGTTATTTTAGATAAAATCAATTTCAATTTGAGACAAAAACTAAATTCAAATCAATGGAGAAATACGCAACAAGTAATTTCATGGTTTGGCAATATAAACGATAAAGACAGGCATAGTTTTATTTCATTTGATATTGTGGATTTTTACCCATCTATTTCCGAAAAACTTTTAAATGAAGCGTTGGCCTGGGCTTCGGATTTGACTACTATTACCGAAAACGATATTTCAATAATAAAACATGCAAGAAAATCTCTACTTTTCGGCAACGGCAAATTATGGACAAAAAAAG